TCCACCCGAAAAAAAAAAAAAAAAACAACTCAGCTTCTACAAAAAGTCCTAATCTCTAATCATTTTTACATTTAAATGGATGGTGGACAAAATTTTCTCTTAAATTTGAAATGTAGTTCTGTGATTCTATCAATGTTATAGTTATATATCTACCAAAGATTTTAAGGAAAAGAGATGAAAAACTACATGGATCAATAAATTGCTTTTTTAGGGTAACATAAAAAACTTCGTTCTTTCAACAATCATATAAACCTCCCCTTGTTATCACAAGGCTGGATTCAGTCCTTACCCCCTATTTACAACACTCACTGTGAGGATTGAATCCGGATTATGTCATCACACAAACAAAAACCTCTTATGTAGTTAATATATATATATATATGATTATCTTTTCCTTGCCTTTAATTTTTCAGGAAAAAGCATTTAAATTATGAAAATGCTCTTACTAAGCTTTGGGCTAAATTCTCACCTTATGTGAGTCTTCCCTCTTGTTGTTTTATGAGCTTTCCTTCGATTTAGGAATGGCAATTTCTACCCTCCCCGGTGGGTACCCGCCCCTACCCTCTCTAATGAGGCAGGTTTTTTTGCTTGAAAGATGGGTTTTAGAATTCTGCAACAGTGCTTATACAGGTAGGGTATGGTATTAGGCTAAACCCAGCCCTCCCCAACCCGCATATTGTTGGAAAGCATATAAACTTTATGTATTACGTGTTGAATTTAATAATATTTTGAATTTTATGTAAAGGATAATTGATAGTTTATGTGTTTTCTACATGTCTTAATCAAATAATTGAAAATTTTATTGTAATTTTGTGTTATTTTACTTATTTATTGCCTAACAATAAGTAATAGGAAATTAGATGTGGGTTCTAAACCCAACCAAATCCTACCCTTGAATCTGGAGAGGGTAGGGTGGGGGAGGGTTTTGCATTTTCATGTGCATGAGGATTTGGATTCTCAAAACCCAACTAGCTACAAGTTTTGGAGCAGATACTGATTAGGAGGTTTAGAAATGCGGATAGAATATAGAATTTACATAACCCTCCCCGTTGCCATCCCTACTTCGATTACACCTTAATATGATACCCCCTTTCTACCTCCATCTAACTTGCTTTTTTTTTTTTCTCTGTCTTTCCTTTCATCCAACCATGTCTCAATTAACTTGTTTTACGTTCTAAGTTCGATGACTTATTTTGCCCTGTGCCACTACATGCAGCCGCGAAGGAATTAAGGCGACACTACACTATCCCACAAAAGGTTGTGATCACTAGCTATCTCATTTTAAGGATTTTATCTGACAGGCCAACCCGTTCGATCAGATGCATTATGTGAAATTTTATCTCGTAGTTGGAGGTTACAAGAGAAGTCCCTGAACTTATTGATAACTTGTTTGGTGCTAGATTAATTTCCTACTGCTGAAGCCAGAGATGATGTGCTTAAGAGGGGACTATGGACAATGGACGATGATTATGTTTTGATGGCAAAAACCCAATAACTAGATACCCTTCTGCATTCCTATAAACTAAATCGTGTTGATTTGTGGCTTATCAATCGAATACCTAACCAGGAATGTTGTAATGGCATTATCATCTCTCGTCAGTGAGCGTTATGAACCCACTGACGACGATAAAGTTTGTAAGTTCATCAGAATCGGGATCTCTTTCTATGTTTACAAAGCAATTGTGAAGTCTACTGAATGCACTCTCTTGAACAAGAAAGATACTACAGTTTAGTTCCAATATGATGAGCGTTTAATTAGCTTGTTTCTGCTACTTTTATGGCAATCTTTGTAGTTTGTACTCACTTCTCTAAATCTCTACATTGTGATTACACTCCAGTTCCAGTACTGACCGACTCCCCTTCATATGAAGAGTGAACTAGAAGCTCAAGGAAAACCAGTTGTCGGAAGCGAGAGACAGATTTTATCTTAAAATACATATTGAGGGTTCTTCTACTAACAAAGCAAGTGCGAGTAGAGATTCTGGGAAATCTGTTTTTGCAAGAGCTGTTAAATTACCCTTGGCATTTGTTGAAACAGCTGCAGCTTATGCGTTGCTCTAAGCGTTGAGATTTGCTTTGGAACTTGGTTTATCACGAATTAATCCTTGTTAAAAGTGATTGCTTATTAGTCTAGGTTTTGCTTTTATTAACCCGAAAAATATCTGTCTTGGTGCATTATAGGCGCATATAGCAGGGTCAGGGATGGTGCCACGTGGCATCTGCTGGATGAGAGTTTGGTCGTCCACTTCTAACTGCCTCCAACTATTACTCCATGGCAAGGCTAAGCATAAAAAGGGGGTGCCAAGGTAGATTCATCCAGCTTACTTTTCCTCTCTAGCTTTTCTTTTCTTGAGTGATTTCGCTTGAACTCTCATCTCAGTTCTACCCCTTTCAAGCACTTGATTGATTTGACCGTCGAAGTCTCGGCTCCAGTTGGAATAACACCTGGGGCCTTTGACGTGTGTTCTCTCCTTTCTCTTAGTTGGGACATACATCAGCCTCCACCAGAAGCAAAGTTATCTTGTTGCCCTCAGCCCCATCCTAGGCAGTAATGCTGAAATTTGTTGCCTTCTTTTATTTATTGTGCACTCTCATCATTTGTTTGTAGATGTTCTAATCCTATGGCACACGAACGAGGTTTGCTTGCTATGTATAAAACGTCTATACTCAACCTTTTGAGCCAAGTTTCCTACATGATCTCATTGTGACATATTCTTCGTAATTTATGGATGCTTTGTCTTAAAATAAAAGAAAGAAAGAAAATGTCCTTATTATGATAAGGGCATTATTGTACAATCAAAAAAATCCAACATCACCGTTCAATACTTCACTTAGCCTAACAACTTTACAGAAGTTACTTTACTGTTGTAGAGAAACCAAACTTTCACTTAGCTTAGTGGACTATAAGAAATCCAACAACATTCACTAGATTTTTATGATGACAAATGATAGTTCTAACATCATTTAGATGCCGATAGTCTCTGCTTCTAGTCGTCTCTTATAATTGATTTTACTCGGAATGAACCTTTCTCGGTGGAGGAAAGGAATAGCAATTGATTTCTACGGAGCATCCAGTAACAAAAAGATTAAATCGGACGACAAATTTTTGGGTGGTCCAAGCAAATGAGAAGTTTTAAGAGTAAGAAAAGGGAGAATGACGGTTCAGCATAGGGTCAGAATTTTTAGGCTCAAATTACAGTTAGGTGGATGTCAGGTCGGAATTGATGTCAATTTACAGACGGCATCGATATATAGAATGAGGGTTTTTGACATTTTGAATATTTATAGTTCTACAGTGAAAATCAAAAATCTACATTGGGCCTGTCCATACTTCTCTAGTAAGAAAAATGGAAGGACCAAACATAGAGGAAGCATGTGGTAGAGCCAATGTGTATTAGTTACAAGAAGCCTAGATTGTTGTTATGGCACTACTACCTACATTGGAGTGTTGATTTCTGTTTATTCAACATGGCTATGTTGAGAGGTACTAGCATTAGCCATGGATGGGAAGTAGCTTGCCCATCCAAGCAATGTGTGCACATGCTTTTCTATTTGATGAGCTTCTTGCTTACATTTTTCTTGCCAACATAAGATTTCTTGTCTTTCTTTATACCTAACGTTTACTATCTTTTTTTTTTTTTTTGTTGCAATCAAAATTTGCAACAAGGATAGAATTGGGAAGTTGCTAGAGATCTTGGCTGAAAGGGTGTCACCTCGGTTGCTATGGAACACCTACGATCAAAAGAGAACATTAGATGCCACAGGGTGAGACGTGGACTCTAATGGCTAAGTTAGTAATTAACATCAAAAGTAGATAAGATGATTTTAAGAGTAAGGTGAAACATTATATGAAGAGAAGTGTGCCAAGTATCTAATGTATGGAAATTAAGCAATTGGCATCATCTGCGAGAATTGAGCAAAAAGTCCATTTTACCCACACAACCAACCTGCTAACTAGAACCAACATCAAAACAATTGACTTGAAACATCCAACTTGTTGTCTAGGACCGATCTGAATTGACCTGGAAGTGCCTTGCCAACTCAAAGTTCCTTTATGGTTAACCTATGCTAATTCAGCCAAACACGAGACAAAGCTAATCTATTAGTTTGAAGCAAGGTTGAAATTATCAATACTGGCCGATACGTCAGTAGGGTGTACTGGCGTATTGGCTTGTGTCGATGTTTTTTTTAATTGTACTTTTTTTTTTTTTTGAAATCGGTTTAGAGGGGTCGGTTTAAGGCCTAACTATCCTCTAAACCAGTGGCTGATCCGATACAACCTCTGTAAGAATGTATTGAAAAACCATCGGCATGATACATATCGACCGATTTGATACTTCCTTTCGATATTTAAAATACATATCGGTATTTTAAACATTGGTTTGAAGACACAATTAACCAATTTGATACTTTCTTTCGATGAATCGATTTAGACACTGCCTCTTCCTCGAAAGTGAGACATTTGATATGGCCAAAACTACTATGGAGCGGAGCACTTTGTATAAATTGTTGAGGAGGTTTGGTCACTGGAAAGGGGAAGGGAGGTAATTGTTTATGTTCTAAAAACAATGGGGGAGGTTTATGTCGAGATTAAAAATTAGGGGAGGTTTATATAATTATAAGAAAATTATTCAATAAATCTTTAATCGGAATTGCAAGAAATTAAGGAATTAGTCAACTAAGTGGATGATGATGATGATAATCATATACATCCATCAATCTAAATCCAAATAGCCTTTTGACGGGTTCCACTAAATATCTCTATGATACGAGGTATGTCTGGTCTGGTTCCATTGATCTCCATTTTTTCACTGAAAAACGCGAAATCTACTCCCTCCCGCTATTTCTTTTTCCTGTTTCTCCATAATTCACAAATCACAAAAAAAATAAAAAAATAAAAAAATAAAAAAAAAGGCTCTGCCAAACTGTCGGTCAAAAAATTTAACTTTTCCGTCTCTCTTTCCCCCTTTCAGGCTTTCACCCTTTGGCTTTGCTTTCCGGTTCCTTCATCAGTTTTATCGTTGCAGAAAGAATAATCGATTTATTTATTTATTTATTTCCACGTTATATATTTATTTTTTGTATATATAAGAGAAAGACACAACCTGGTCAGCTCTGTCTCTGCTTCTTGTTTTTGTTCCGCTGAATTTGTTAATAGCTGAAACCAGAACAAAAGATAAACAAAAATGGAATCCTTGTCCATGGAGATGCTGTGTCTTCTCCAAACGTGATACTTAAAAGAGCCATGAAAGTGCCTTCCCATTTATCGCCGCCTTTAAATCAGAACGTCGGCTCCATTTCTTCATTTCTGCCGGTAAGAGGTCTTGGTTTCTCCATCTCTGAACTCTAAAACTCTAATCTGATTATCTTCTCTAGTTATTGCTTTTCAGTTCCAATAGAACCCTAAATCATTGATTTCTCTTTTGGTTTTCGGAGTAGCTTGTTTGACTGATGCAAGATCTTCCGTTGTTATCATCTGGAATTACGATTCTTCTTTATTTATATAGCTCTCTTTTCCGACTCTGGATTTGTTTGTTGTCTTCCTAATTCCTTCTTGGAGCTGGAGGTAATATATTATATCGTCAAGAGTCCGAGCAAGATTGATTCTTTCGTCTTTTCTTCTTAGTATGGATGTTTTTTCTTTAAATAAAACTGAGCTAGGTTTCCGTTTTATCCATTTTTGTGTCAGTTTTATTGATTAGATTCCCTTGAATGAGGGAAAAGCTGTGAAGTCGGTCCGGTGTTTTGTCTTTGTTTCATGGGCAACGCATGCCGTGGATCTTTTGGAGACAATTTTTTGGAGGGCTACAACGAGCCCATAGATCGCAGCTGTTCTAGGAGGAACACTTCCCAGCATTCCACCTCCGACTACTCGACAAGCAGTTTGAATGCCAAGCATATTATCGCTGGGGAAATCGGCAAAGTAAACCACAGGAGAAACAAAAGTTCACCTCTCATCAGTCCAGCGGCAAAAAGTCGCAGCATGAGGCGGGGAACAGACAACCAGGCATATTATGTGTTGGGTCACAAGACTGCCAACATCCGTGATCTTTACACCTTGGGCCGTAAGTTGGGGCAAGGGCAATTTGGCACCACTTATTTATGCACGGAGACTGCCACGGGTAAGGAATATGCTTGTAAATCCATCTCAAAGAGGAAGTTAATCTCCAAGGAGGACGTGGAGGATGTTAGGAGGGAAATTCAGATAATGCACCATCTATCAGGCCATAAGAACATCGTCACCATCAAGGGAGCCTATGAAGATCCCTTATATGTTCATATTGTCATGGAGCTATGTGCTGGGGGTGAATTGTTTGATCGGATCATTCAACGAGGTCACTACAGCGAGAGGAAGGCAGCTGAGCTCACCAAGATTATTGTGGGGGTTGTTGAAGCCTGTCATTCGCTTGGGGTTATGCATAGGGATTTGAAGCCAGAGAACTTCTTGCTAGTCAACAAAGATGATGATTTCTCTCTCAAAGCCATTGATTTTGGGCTATCGGTTTTCTTTAAGCCAGGTAAAATAAAAAAAAAAAAAAAAATCTAGTGGGAGTATATGTGTTCTCCAAACTTTCATAATTGTTTTCTCAAAATTTTCAACGAATTTATCCAGTAGATTTTCCTTTCTAGGCCATCAGTCTTCTATTATTTCCATACTAAAAGTACCTTTTTCCATCCTTGTTTTATTAAGTTCTAGACTCTGTCTCAGACTATAGAAGAACAATTGACTGGCAGATATTGAATTGATCACCTGGTTGGTGTGCTTTTTAACTTCTTGAGGCTGTGGCCTATTGATTGGATGGTCTGGGTTGATGCTATTGAAATTTGTAGAAGACTTTCATGATTATTCCTCTTAATTTAATATTGGTACTTGTATGAGGAGAATCAGCCATTAACAATTGTTCTTCAGATCATCATCATCTAAGCTCTGTCCCAACTGATGTTCTTTAGATGTTATTCTTTCTAGTTTCCCATGGACTTCAATTCCTATGCCAGTTCCAGTTTGATTTCAAGCATCTGGTTGACATTTATTTTGTGCTACTTCAGGGCAAGTATTTACTGACGTTGTTGGAAGCCCATATTATGTTGCTCCTGAGGTGCTTTGCAAGCATTATGGACCAGAGGCAGATGTATGGACTGCAGGAGTTATACTGTATATATTGCTAAGTGGTGTGCCACCTTTTTGGGCAGGTATATTTGATGATATATCAAGGCTTCATGATTTGTTACTTCCTAGTGCTCGTTATACTGAAAAACTTTTTACTGTTTGGATTTCAGAAACACAGCAAGGGATTTTTGATGCAGTGCTGAAAGGAGTCATTGACTTTGAATCAGACCCTTGGCCACTAATCTCAGACAGCGCCAAGGATCTTATCCGGAAGATGCTCTGTTCTCGGCCCTCTGAGCGTTTGACTGCTCATGAAGTACTATGTATGTTATTTTCTCTACCCTTCTCCCAATCCCTAATTTGGTTCATCAGAAGAACCTACCTGTGAACGGGTTCAAAAAAAAGAAATTATCATATTTTTGGACTGACCTAACCGTTTTCTCGATGATCATTGATTCACTAGTCTATTTTTTTTTTCTTTATGTACAATTCATGTGATTTGAGCCCATCTTTTATAACTAGAGTGGTTGTAGTAGTTTCCAGAAGAAGAAAATCTAATGGAAGTGATATGATCAGGTAGACTTTCACACACCAATTTGTTCCACCAATTGCTTGTTATAAGTGTTTTCTGCAAATATCGTCTTAGTGCCTCACTATCTGAAAGTTTTTTCCCTACAGTTTCATTGCCTCTAAAACATATCCTATTGGCTGTAGCCTGAGTCAAGGTTTAAAATGTTGATGTTAGTGGAAATATTGATCGTCCAAATATAGGAAACATGTCAGAAATGTTGGAAATATCGTGTGGAAATATTGTAAAAATTATAGACATGGTAGAAACATTGTAAAATATGCAAAAATATAGAATGATATTTTATGAAATGATAAAAGAAGCATAGGCAAACCTTTTTAAATTATTTTCTTCTTCCATTATCATTAAACAAAGATAAGAAATTAAGGTTATAAACAAAAGAATATGTTCTGAAAACCTTAAAGATTCAAAACTACATAATAGAATGAGTTAAAGCAAAATTTGAACTTATAGAAAATGTAAATGATTCTAACCGATCAACCGAATAATCTACAAACAAAACCTAATATTTAGCTTCATGTTTGAAATGAATATTGAGCTGTCTCAAAGTGGTAATCATGTCTACTACACATATCTACAATATTTGTCACCAACTTATGTTATAATACTATCTCTTGTACTCCGTATAGTTCTGGTAGTGTTCACTGGGCAATGTGTTGAGTCTAATAAAATTTTGTGTTGCTACCCATGGAAATGGAAACATGTTGTGGAAATATTAGGGAATTTAGGGACATTTTAAACTATGATTTTAGTTGCATAGAAAATTTTCCACCTTATATTAGATATGGATTAAGAATGTAAGTTTGTTAAACTAAAAAGAGTTGTTAGTCTTCATGGTTACTTGTATTTATATAATACTCTACAGTGGAATACTTCTTATTAAGTTTCACTAGCTGGCTTGCAATCATTCCTTCTGATATCTTTGTGAAATCTTGAATATTCTCCAGTGTTTCTTGTTCATGGAAACCAGAAAGCTTTAATGGTTATCTCATACATTAGATTCAAATGGTTCCTTGAATCAGTATATTCCATCAAAGTAATGTAATACTTCTCTTACATGTCAAATTCAGGTCATCCCTGGATTTGTGAAAATGGTGTTGCTCCTGACAGAGCATTAGATCCAGCTGTTCTTACTCGCCTCAAGCAGTTCTCTGCAATGAATAAATTAAAGAAGATGGCTTTGCGGGTGAGTGGTTATTTGATGCAATCTATTACATTATATGAGATATGAGGACATACTTAGATGGACCGGCCTACTTGTTCCTTGGGTGGTTCCTCAATCATTATTGTATATTCCAGTTGGGCCAACTTTGAAAAATTGTTCCACCACATACTGATTTGAAAATTTATTTTGAAATATGACTTGATACTTGGCCAATTTCCGTTACTTTCCAGATCATAAATGACATTCTTTTTGGAAAGATTTCTTATTATTGGATTATCTGATTTTTTTTTTCCTGTGTGGTATCAGGTAATAGCTGAAAGACTCTCTGAGGAGGAAATTGCTGGTTTAAGAGAGATGTTTAAGGCAATGGATACTGACAACAGTGGTGCAATCACATTTGATGAACTAAAAGCTGGCTTGAAAAGATATGGCTCTAATATGAAGGAGTCAGAAATCCGTGCCCTTATGGATGCGGTAAGAATATTTTCTTCCATAGAAATATGGTTGTATTTGTGCTCCTTGATGGTTGCTATTGCATGCTATGGCTGAAGAATATTGTGTTATTTTTGTGAAGTAACTTGGGAGTTTGGAAAGAAGTCTTATTATTGGATTCAGTAGAAGGTTGAGGGTTGATTAATCTACTTGTGTTTCTGAACTTTTACTTGAACTTGACTCTACTTGTCCGGACCCTCTCAAACCTGATAGAAGGATTTGGACCTTGACCTCAAAAGGTTCTTTTACTTGTGCTTCTTTCTTCAAACCCCTTTGCTCTAACTCTGTTCCTTGGGTGTTTCTAGTCAAAGAAGTCTAGTCTAGGCCTATTCCCCCTAAATTAGCTGTTTTTTGCTAGGAAGTTTACAATGGTAAGGTTAATACTTTGGGCAACCTGCAAAAGAAGAGAACTTCTTTGTGTTTGTTTATCTCCAATTTGGTGTACTCTTTGCAAAGCACAGAACGAGGACTGGTGCCATTTATTGATATTTTGTTTCTTTGTTGTAGTTATTTGGAATTGGGTTTTTGTTTTGTTTGGGTGTGGGTGGAACTTGTCATTTGAAGTAAATATGTTGTTTAATCCATCTATCTTTGGGTGGCCCATGAAAAGATATGTTGAAATGTATTAGAGCATCTCTCCCTTGGACTATTTGGGAAGAAAGGAATGCCAGAATATTCCAAGAAAAGGAAAGAAGCCTATTTGAAGTCAAAGAGTGCATATTTACAAAGGCAATTCTTTGGCTGAAATCTTTAAAACTCTTTGAAAGTTACTTCTTTGATGATATTCAAAGGAGTTGGTTAGCAGTGGCTATTACTTTGTCTAAGAATATTTGAATTCAAGCAAGATGGACACCTCCTATGAAGGGTTTTGTAAAGCTGAACTTTGAAGACAGCAACATTCTCTCTTTATTTTCAGGACTAGTGGGAATAGGTGACTCTACAAGAGCTGAGCTTCTAGCTGCTGTACAAGAGATACAGATTGCAAACCAACCTGGAGTGGAGAATTTACTAATTGAAGGAGACTCTAAAAAAGGTTTACTGGTTTACAAGGAACATAACAATTAGATTTCAATGGGTGGAAGATCAGCAAATGCTTTGGCTGATTTTCTTGCTAAACAAGGGGTTTCTTTGTATTGGGCTACCCTGCAAATTTAACTTGTTTAGTCTTAGAAAGTGTAGTCAACTAAAAGGGGAGGTAGAATGGTAGGAGTTGAAGCCTTCCTCCATTTTCCTTATCTTAAAGGGGAGGTAGCATCTTGTGCCTCTTCTTGAGCTGCTTGTATATCTTTATGCTCTTGATTAATGAAACTTACAATTCAATTATCAAAAAAAGAAGTTAAGGGAGAATGTAATTGTGTGCCTTCTTTCTGTGGTTACACACACACACACAAAGTAACAACCCCGAATCCCCTCAACACACACTCGCACAAAATGAGGAGGCCTGAGAATGTTTTAGGAGTTTTTCAATACTATAATTTGAATCAACTCACTGAGTTTTACCATTTTCAGGCCGATGTGGACAACAGTGGAACCATTGACTATGGAGAATTTATTGCTGCCACAGTTCATCTTAACAAGCTGGAACGTGAGGAACATCTTATTGCTGCCTTTTCATACTTTGACAAGGATGGGAGTGGTTATATTACAGTCGATGAGCTCCAGCAAGCATGTGCTGATCATCATATGACAGACATTCTTGTGGAAGATATTATCAAAGAAGTTGATCAAGATAATGTAAGTAATGTACACTTTCTGCTTTTAGACTGCTCTATTCCATGAAACTTTTGTCATTCATCAAAAAAAGGTCCCTTTTCTTCATATTATGGATAAATATACCCCCTTCTATGAAATAATCCACAGGAGTAACCAAAGAGATGTCGTTCTACTGGTGTTTATAAAACTATGCAGGTTTTGTGTTAGATCATCAATTGTATCTACAGCTGAACAAATTTATCCATTAGGCTTAACATGAGTTTGTGGAAACTGATAAGTAGAAACAGCTTAATGGTTATATATAGGAAAACACCACTTAGGCTACAAGGAATATATAAAAATCTGGATGCCAACCTTGTTTAGCTGTGTGTGTGGTTGTAACTTGTAACCATGCATCATTTTGTATTTGGATATAAATGGTCTCCATGCTTCTCTGTTCTTCTTTGTTCTCTTTTTCTTTTTTTTTTCCTTTAAAGAAAATCTATTTTCATATGAGAAGGCAGGCATGTTTCATTCATGTTAGCAACTACATCCTATCTATGCAAGAGTGTCTCCCACTAGGATGTTTCCCAGGTGAAACATCATTGGCTATAGCACATGCTGGTGAATGTCAGACCTGTCAAATTATGGGTTCCAGATTCTCTGCAAGTGCATCACATGTACTTCACATTTAACCAGCCAGGGAGGTTGGTGGTGCATGTTCTAACCAACGTATTTTCTAACTTGGCTAAAATAAGCCTTGATTGTTTCTTATGATCCTTTTTTTTTTTAAAAAAAAAAAAACTTTGGAGTAGATTGAAATTCAAAATTCTGCTGTTTTCAGGATGGCAGGATAGACTATGGTGAGTTTGTTGCTATGATGCAAAAGGGCAATGCAGGAATTGGAAGACGAACCATGCGTAACAGTCTGAATATGAGCATCAGAGATGCTGCACCAGGATCTCTTTAACAATTGATTACGCACATCATGTACAGGTATATTCAATGGCCTTCGTTTTGTTCTCACTTGTTTTATTTGTTTCCTTCTGAGCATATTGATAATTGAAAATAGAAGGATGTGGTGCATTCTTGAAACTGAAGGCACATAAGTTTCATGGTTCAATCTAAAATAGAAGGAAAAAAAGAATTTGCAATGAAAATATCAAGTGCTTTTAATTCTAGTCAGCATTTCAATCTTATCAGCCAAGACATGAAGCTTAAAGATGCTCAATGGATAGACCAAATTAAAGAAATATCTGTGACATACTGGTAGCATATGGTCAGATGCTAAGCATTCGGCTACAGTAGTCAATCCAGCAAATCAACCTCCAGACATTACTTTATTTGTGACATGGCATGGTTTGATCAAGGAGAGTGAACATGTCAAGTCCTGGTTGAAGAAGTGATTGGATGTTATGCCTCAATAGTGTTTAAATTAATTCTCTCATCCAAAGCACTTGAATATTTCCTGTCATTTTTCTGATTCTACTCAGCTTTGCAAAGAGATCAAGTTACATTAGTTTTATTTAATAATGACTATATGCAATCATATTTATAACCTAGTCTTTTCATTTTCCTTCATTGCACGTTCATCAGCTTTTGTAATTGCATCGTCGTTTTTTTTTTCATGTTTTTGTATTATTTAGGTTGGATGTACAGTTTATAGGCGACTAGCCAAATAACTAGTCTGTTTCTGGAGTTTTAGTAAATACTAGTTGAGAAGCCTGTGCGATGCACGGGTGAAAATAAATGCAAAAATCAATAATTAAAAATATAATTAAATTCACTAATGCAAATCAAGTATGATAACAAAAATCTAATTTGGGATGAAAATATGGTATTGACCTCAACTTGGGAAGGACTTGGATTTAGGTCTTTAGTAGCTACAATCTAATCCAAACCCATAGTGGCATTTGGCATCCTATACCTTGTCAATTGTCTCACTTGTTGATGATCATATCCCACTGCCACCAGGGTTAGGGGTTCAAGGGGATGGGGGATGGGCTACCCCCATTTGTGTAGCCCTATGAAACATAAGAAAAAAACTTTTAATCAATGGTTTTGGTAACAAGATGGAGACACTATAGTATAATAATATTTTGACTTTTTTAGTGAATATAATATTTTCACATTTGATTGGGGCACTATGGAACTTTTAACCTCATGAAAACTTCCCCCATCTATATTTAAGTTGATACTATTAGAGGGCCAAAAACATTTCTTTATTCTACCTAACCATTTTTAACGTAGAATATTGTTATGGGAGTTCACTTTCTCAGTATTCAACTTATAAACATGTAATAAATTTATATGTCAACTTGAAAAAAAAATCCTACCTTAATAGTTAATACAATGTCTAGGCTAGTGAATTGTAGTAGCTATGGTCTTCGGAATATCTTTTGTCCTCTTCCTCAAAACACTTGTCACCATTCCTCTCCCTCCAAAGATTAGTTATGATCTTCACTTTCAAATTCACTTCTCTATTTATCTCTTTCCCTCACTCAAACGAAAATGCCTTTGATTAGTTTGTTTTTATCTTCAAGACCAACATGTTAATGATGAATGTTCTTAACAGATTATAACTTAGACCTTTTGGGTTTAGGTGATGAAATGGGGTATGTCTTTCCAATTTATACCACTGGTTAGGCATGGTATTCATCTTCTGGATATCATCAGTTTAATAAAATGATTTGATTTTTTTAACAATGGATCATAAAACAGATCTGAACTTTTATTCTTTTTGGTAACTAAACAACAGATCAAAATTTATTCTTGCTTTTTGCTCCAAAACCATGCAGCCACACCATTCGTGCCCTTGTCTTCTTAGTTGTTGGTTATCTTCCTCTTCACCGAGGGCTAGGTCCTGTTTTCAAGATTTTTAAATTATTTTATTTTCTTCCAAAAGCATATGAAAGTTTCTTCCCGTAAGTAGCTCTTGCGTTTCTTTTCTATATTTCACTTTTGATCAAAATTAAACATTCATATAATTTTAATTATGATTCCTTCTTTGGAGAAGATATATTTCTTAAGGTCCATTGAATGTGAAACTTCTTTCTAGAAAACCATAACATGACTATAATATATAATTGAATCTTCTTATTGAGTCTACTGCTATCTTTCACCCATAAATAGGAAAAGTATCCAAACAAACCCTAAATTAATATTAAGCCCATAATAGGATTCTTATTATCTAACTAAAATTAATATTAATTCAATAAGAGGTGTCTTTTGTATTCTTTTCAAGTTTTGGTGTTTAGATGATTTCACATGCACTATGTTAATCCCAAGTGAGGTTCATGAATTTTTAATTTTTATTCTAAATATCAGGGTGAATTTATAGAATAATTGATTGATATATGATTTCAGCAAAAACATAAATAATGATAAATTATTGGTTATGGGATCTCCAACCACCATTTAGCAGTCCTTATATGTCATATGTGTAATTGTTTATAGGATCTACAACCATGTTAATAGTTTGCATTTTCTTTTTTTTTTTATGTTGGAAAAACTTTGATGGACAGCATATGACCTCATGACAGTTAAATACAGAAAAAACAAAAATAGTAGATGGTAAAAAGGGAAAGTAAAATGAGGATTTTTGACTAAACAATTGGTACCATCCTCATTTTTATAAATGGTACAGAAATGCAATTATTTTCCATGAGAAAGCAATCCGCATTAATCACTTTGGTGTAAGGGCTTCACTTTTTTATGATTTTGTAGTTTAGTGTCTACTCTGTATGGACCTGAAGTTTCCCTGGGTAGACATGTTCTCATCTTTATGATAAATTAATTGATAATTGACAATATTAGTAAATGGCATTTTCACCTCTATATTGGGCATCCTCCTCTGCATACTGTTAACAGTCTTGTACTCTTAATGGAGATACTGGCAGATTGTACAGCAAGGCCATTAGGGAAGAAACGCTGGCGATGGCTTTAAAGATGCGAATTTTGGTTGGTTTCCAGCTTTGGAACCTCGGGATATACTGCTGAAGCTCCTTTGTATGAATGAAGGTTCTGAGATTGAGCATGAATCCTTCTTTTTTTTTAAAAAAAAAAAATTCAGATAACTCCACCGAGTGTATGCTTCTCCCATTTGAGTGTCTAAGTTTTGCTTGTAAACTATTGATTCATTCTCATGGCGTCCAGCATCTCTTTGGTTTCCTGCAATTTAATTCATCGTAAGTGCACGATATGAACGCATGGGAGATCATAAATGCGGTATATCTTTACCATTGGGACGTTCCACAGATTGCATTTTGTGGTCTAGAGAAATTCTAGGTTTTACATATCCAGAGATGACAGATGAGGACGTTTATAATTCCATTGGTTCCTCATTGATGTAGAACAGGTTTACCCCTACATCAGTTGCATTGGGATGCTCAAACGGGTCTTGCACTGACTGAAGCCGAATTCGCTAAAATTCGAGTACTTGTAACTTAGCTTCCAAAACTGCCTGAACTTCACAACCAAAAAAAACCAAAGCCCCTGTAACATTAATAAAAATGACGAGGATAATAAACCATTGTATCCTAAATAATTATCAGGACAAGCTCCATCACAAAAAATGAAAAAGAACTTTCCGAAACATCACACCTTAAGGTTGGGTTTGTTTGTGATACAAACACTGAATTGGGGTATTTATGCATTCCAGTTTGTTTGAAATGTGAAAAAGTAATGATTATCAAAGTAAAATTATATTTTCTGACACTTGTATTCTAAAAAGAGATCATTACTGTACCTACTTTTTGGATATAAATTTGTATTCATTTGATAATTAACTTTTTGACTAAATTTGATGCATTGGAGAATAAGATAGTTGGAGTAGTTAATGATGGGCTCACACCTTTGCACTGATTTCAAACAAATAGGATGAATGCAAAAAATGGTTTAAAATATGAACCATATTTACATTCATGTACCGAAAAATGGATAAGCATATTGTGTACATATTTGAGTTTGCATTGCAAACAAATGCAGCCTAAGTCTTTAGTTGCCTTTAGACTGAACCTTCAATTTATTTCTATCTAAAACAAAAGCTTTAACTTGAGTACATACTACATATACTATTTATTTTAAACAAAATCCAACTTAGAAAACCAACCGGTTTTTGCAAAACCAAATATAATATGTTAACAATGTGGGCAATCCAACTCAGAATTTCATTCACATCCCCATCACCATGATTTATCAAAACACACTACATAAGATCTTGAACAGATTGAAGCCAACCATGTTGAATTCTTAATCCCCAAGGATTAGTACTAAAAACCAGCTTTAGGAAAAAGGACAAAGCCCCCCTCCCCCCCAAAATAAAAAAATAAATAAATAAAACTCTACACACACACGGTAAAGGAAATCACAGGAAATCTCCTCATACGTTTGACATACAATGTAGGGGAGATATTTCCCAATGTACAGCTGGATGTTTATATACATACACACATATATATATATTCAGGAATGCATGAATTGATTCTAAGTCTCCACCGCAACGCTAACCGGATTTCTTTAGGCTGCGTTTGGAAGCAATGTAAAATATTATCGATAAGGTTTTATACCAAACCGTAAAAAAGGTTGCCATTGAGCTTTGAAAAGTGTGGAGAAAAGCATTGAGTTTTTACATCGATTTTATTGGTGTAGTATTTATATTGATAGTCGATGTAAAACTTTACTTTTGATGAGGTTTTACATCGATTTATGATGAAAACTTCATTCTATCCAAATGCCAATAAATCTAAAACAAAGTGGAGTTTTACATCGATCTTGATTTATACTCCATCCAAACGCCGACAAAACCGAACCGGCGTAAGTTTTTACATTGATGATATTTTACATTACTTCCAAACACATCTTTACGAAATTTATCCTCACACCCACCTCACAGCCCTTTAGCCGAACTTGGTGAGATGTTCCTAATGTGTAGTTAAAAGGGCTGTGAGGTGGGTGTCATGAAAATTTTGTGAGGAAATATGAACTTTCCACAATGACTGTGAATCTCCTATTAACCTCTTTCTTCTGTTTTTTCTACTAACCCAAGGTATGGCCACAACTGTTCCACGTTTGTGTGACAACCTCTTTCTGGGGTAAACATGCCCGTTGGTTCATCCTTTCCTTCTTCTTGTAGAACTTTTGTTGAAACCCTAATGCCAAAGATTACATCATTCTTTCCTAAATCCAATAAAATCACTATCAAAATCCTAATGCCCTCGAGTTGGGTCTCTCTTCCTCATGTCATCTGAGTTGGAGGGCTCGCCTTCCCTCTTCCTTTTTTCGATCCTGCCTTCAGTCCTTTGGTTGATCTCCTCCTCTGTTCTTATGAATTTGTCCGCGAGCTTGAGGAACTCGGCTACGGTCGTGGGCTAGTTACCTACCATGTGCCACCTGAACTCCTTGTGTGTCACGCCCCTCTTGGCTGCCGCGAACTGTACCGTAGGGTCTAGGCGCGGTATCTGCAAGCATGCGTCATTGAACCGTTTGATATAGCCCCGGATGGATTCTCCTTCCTTTTGGACTATTCCGAGGAGGCTCTCTTCGGTGTGGGGGCACCGCTTGCTGGTAACAAAGTGTGCAGTGAAGACCTGCACGAACTGGGTCTAGCTTCTTATCGACCCGGGGGCCAGGTTCCTGTACTAGGTGCGTGCTATTCCCCTGAAGGTTGTAGTGAACGCCACACACATACAAGACTCACTGGCCCTTGCCAGGTGCATTTGGGACTAGAAAGCATCGACATGGTCATTGGGGTCAAAAGACCCGTCATACTTATCTAGAGGAGGGAATTTGAAATCCTTGGGCATGGGGACTGCAAGGAGTTCCGATGACAGGGGGGAAGGGACTGGAAGAATAGGGGCAACTTTTACCTCGTCCGAGCTTGTTTCTTCTTTACCTCGGAGCTCGGGTAGGATGCGGGTGGTTGTTCGACCACTTCGCCGGCGTCTTCGCTGCTGCATAGAGGGCCTGGTGTTGTCGCTACTTGCCTCGGTGTTGCCGAGGTTGATCGGCCCGGAATGCTGGTAGTCCACTGCCAGGATGCCGAACTGGTTCTCTGTGAGCAGGAGCTCGAACTGAGAGTGTCGAGGTGTTGACTTGATTGGCAAGGAGGTTCCCGATCCGTCGGCGAGCTGCGAGGCGGGGGTGGTTAGTCTTTTCCTCCTGCCCGGGGGTGAGGCCTGGCTCTTGGAGGGGTCCTGAAGTCAGGAGGCTCCTCCTCGGTGAAGGCGCCCGCCCTGGGGGGAGGGCTTGGCCAGCTTCGGAGCAGGGTGCCGAGGTGGGAGCTGTGGTTGGTTTAGAGTCAGTTGCGGGAACTGCTGTTGATAATGATACTGAGAAATGTGGTGCAGTACTTGCTGCTGATGGAGCTGATGTTACTGGAATTGCTGCATTTGGGCTTGCATTGCCCGCATGCACTGCATCAAGTCATTGAATTGGTTTTGGCTAGTCGCTAGAGGAACATCAGTAGGTTCAACGAAAGTTGTCTCGATAGGGAGGGGAAGGGGAACATTCACAGGTGCCACCATGCTTGGTGCATTGAGGCTAGGGATTCCGTCCGTTGACAAGGGGACGATGAACTATCCGATGCATATGGTGGTGAGCTGAGGGTGTTCCCCTACAACATTCAAGTCGGCGTTGTGCCTATTGCTGCTGGAGGAAGCCATAGAAGCTAAAGTTTCTTTGAGAGAGAGAGAGAGAGTTAAAGGATTGGGGAAGCCTTTTGAAAGCTTCCCACAGATGGCGCCAAATGATGATGCGCAATCCGGTCGGTCCTAGTTGCCGGTTACCTCGCTTCTGACGAGATTGGAGGTGCCTAAAACAAGGAAGAAAATGGAGACTTCCGGGGAGGAACCCGATTGGAACACTCCAAAGCTCAAGTTAGTGCTCTTTTAGAAGGCAAGGGAAATGAGGAATTCTAAGACCAGAAAGCGCAAGAATCACATACCCTCTTCTTTGTGAGATGGGGGCCTTTTATAATCACCCTTTACACTTACTTCCATGCCTCTGACAGTTCGGGTGTCATTTCCTTTGCCAATCACCAGTTCGGGTGTCATTTCCTCTACCAATCACCAGTTCGGGTGTCATAACCTCCACTGCCAGCTGCCAGCTGCCAGGGCCGCCTCTGCCCGTCTGAGATGGCGGTGGCAGGTGGCCGTTGGATGGCGGTTGTCATGTGTCAGACCTTTAATCAGTCAGGTGCGCCGCCTCCGTGTACGGGTCTCCTGGTCGTCAGGTACGGTTGTTCAGTCAGGACACTTGGAGCCGAAGTGGTGTGTGAGGTGAAGTCTTGAGCTCGGGTAGAGGTGTGGCCCGAACTGCCTCTGGGTGGGTAGTTCGGGTCTTTGCCTTTTGTGCTTTTTGTTAGGCTTAGGACCTCGAAGGGAGAGCTCGGGTTCCTCCTTGGGGAGCTTGGGTTGTAGGTTCCCCCTTTGGGGGAGCTCGGGACATTTTGCTCGGAGCTCGGGTTGTGGGGCCTGCTGTCGTGCCGAGCTGGCGCTTCTGCCAAGTCACTCTTGGTTGCTTCCACGTGTCGTATGGCCAAGGGGTCGGGTCAAATATTCCTCCATCAATTGCCTCCCACTCCCCATGCTCGGGGTCTTGACCCGGCGTGGGGAGCTCACGGGATGACAGGTGGATTTGCCTCAGGACACTTTGGCCTCGATCTGGGACTTCTCTGGTCTGACCTGCTTTTGTTCTTGGCTCAACCGGGGTGGGCTTGGTTCGACCAGAGGTCAGTCCTGGGCTGCGTGTAGCTCACGCGCATAAACGATTTCAAATTTTTGAACGTAAACAATGCATGGCAAAGTGTCTTTTCCTCGGGGAGTGCGCAACTGATTTCGTGGGGAGCCGTTGGATAGTTTCGATCTTGGTCGTTGATGTGTGGGTACAGTGGCTATAAATAGTGGGGGGCCCCTTGTCACTTTCATCCATCATCTTTCAGCATTTGTTCCTTGAGCTCGCGTCCAAGTCTGTCAGCTCGCGTCGCTTGTTCGTAGTCCGATAGCTTTTCCTGGTGAGTCCTCAGTCCTTTGTTTCAATGTCTAGTTCGGGTAGCTTAGGTAGTCTCCTGGGGGGTCCGATGCTGGTTCTACAAATCGAGCTACTGCCCCCAACAGCCTTAGTGTCCGAGGCGGGGCCTGAGGTAGAGCTCGAGGAAGAGCTCGTAGGCCGAGTCACCTCGGGT